TTTTATTATTATTTTTTTTATATATATATATATTTACAAATTTAATTAAAGCTAACACTTAAATTGGAATTATGAGTGCTATTTCCAGTATTGATGTACAAATATTAACATTTTGATCAATATTGATAATAGTTGTAATGTTTTTGCAAATGAAAACATGTTTAGTGGAAAAATTATTGAGGGAAAGAATTTATTTTGTGATTTGATTGATAAAGTTGATATTATTGGTTAATATTTTTTATTATATAATTTATAATTTATGATTATCTTTACACATTATCTAATTCATTATTATTATTATTATTTGATTTGATTTACTACAGGCTAGGACTCAGCTACTTGGATTTTATATTTACAAATTTATTAAATCATTAAAATAATTGTTAATTTCTGGGTATATTTATAGGAATTTGAGGTAGCATAATTTCAGAGTTTTCGGTCTGATTATTTGAAACTGTCTTAATACAAATTGATTTATTATTATTATTACACATTTTACATAGGACTCAGCTACTTTAAACATTTAATTTATTAAATTATTTAATCTATAAATATATTGTTTGTATGTATGTGTATATATATATATATATATATATATGGAAATTGGTACAAGACTGCACCACTTCAGGTTTTTCAGTCTGATTATTTGATACTGTGTTCTAGTACAAATTGGTAACTTTTATTACCATTTCCACTAGTGCGAGGGCCACTTCCCCCAGGAATGTTTCCCAGAGTTCCAATGCCACTCCCTCAACATATGGGCTATTTACCACCAAGACATTCGTCTGCCAGCTTCCCCCCCGGACCTCCACCCAGACCCTCCCCACCCGGCAGCGAGCAGCCCCCCGACCAGTCGCCCTCTCCTCATGATGTCATCTGATCTCTCACGCTCTCTTCCCCCCCGGCAAACTGTTTCTGACCTCCTGTTGTTGTGCTCAGGGGGTGTTTCCTTTGATATGTAACCGCAGTAGCCTTGTGGTTATCTCTTACTTTTTGTCTTAGTTGAAAGCGCAAGCATGGCAAAGGGTGCAGAACATGCCACTGGTTATAATATTAGGAAGAGCAAGTTGATGTCTGTATTTCAGGTACAGAATGTGCGCAGCCTTGGTGAACATGTAGGTAAATTGTAAAACGTCAATGAGACTGCCTTTTAACAGGATTATAGGTGCTCAGGTTTGTGATGTTCTGATGCTTTTTTTTTAATGTAGATGATAAAAGGTCCTCATATTTGTCAAACTGTATATATAAAGTCGAAGTATATATTGTGAATAGGATGCTGTTTAAACAAGACTTTGGTAACTAACAAAAAAATCCAACAACTCAATCCAGAGAACCGTCCATGTAGCGGATATATTTATAGTTTCCTCTAATAACAACTCATTTATGATTAATAATAAAAAAAGATGCCATTTGAAAAATACTGGATTAGTTTCATGTTTTCTTTGCCGAGACGTGCTATGTATCTAACTTAGTAATGTACAGTATGAAGATGGATATTATTCATTATTTTATCCATAAATAATGGATATTTGCCAAAGATTACATTTGTTTAATGTTATTAAATTATTAATGTTTTTAAAGATGTAGATGTAATTATGAAGTACAGAAACATGTATAATCGCAGCATGAGAATCCTTCATTTCATTTGTTTTACGATGACCATTAAGGGACACATTTTAATATGCAGAGTAATAGAGTGCTTTGGAATTACTTAAGATAAATTATTTTCATAACCGAGCACAGAAGGTGCATTGTTATCATTTTTGGAACATATTTTACACATCTTAACGAGTAATCAAGAATGTACCTACATATGAATCCCTAATTTCCAGACCTGGAAAATCTAGACCAAGCTCTAAAGTCTTTTTAAATCAGTAGAAATTAAGCTTTATAAGTGTAATCACTGTAACCAAAAAAAGTGAACTACTTTCCATTCAGTCTCCCATTGTGAAGTGTAAAGGGAAAAAATGCTTGAGACAAGATTGATTTTTTTTTTAATGCTTTTATTTTACCGATTAAAAGAAAATGCATTCGTTCAACATTAATTCAAATCAACATTCGGCTGGTTTACCCAATATCTGTCAGTTAACTTTTTCCCAAAGGGTTTCCTTCTTTATCGTGGAACCTCAAGATCACTTTTTCTCATTAAAATCTTCCCAACTGGCATGTTCACACCTGTGCCAGAGTACTTCCTGTTTGCAGATGTACATATAAAATCCAATGCTATGTGCTCACCGGAGACAAAAAAGTAGACAGAACACACCTGCCCAAATATTAAACATTTAAGATGGTAAAACCATTTTTGCAAAACAACAATGCTTATAAACTTTTTTCAATGTCCATAAATAGAACCCGGACAAGTGTTGCATAAAAGTATATACGTTGATATATATATATATATACGCATATGCACATTTATGTTATCTTATTTAACTCCCCGTTAAGTTTATAAGGTAGCAGCGTGGTCTTAGCACTGCTGGTGCCCCATGATGGCCACTTCTTTATTGCAAACTGTCCTGATTTTAAACAAATGCACAACATTCGTACCACTTATAACTGGGGCCTTCTGGCCAGTCTCATAGAGACCATGTCTGTAACCCACGGTCGCCCCTGAAACTGAGTTGGCTTCCGAAGAATCAAGATCTTTAAAACAATAATAATAATAACAATAGTAAGGCCAAGTATCATTGCAAGTTAGGTTATTTCCATTTGAGTGACAGAAAAAGAAAAGAAAAAGTCAAAGAAGGAAAAACGAGTTAAGAGCCATTGGATCGTATGCATTCCGTTTGCATAGTTTTTGACTTTGCCGTTAACGCAAGCTGACCAGAGAGAAAGAGAAAGAGAGGCCCGCGTCAAGCTAGAGATCGGACCTGCAGTGGAAACTCAGACTGTTAGTTTTACCAAAGGCTGGCGTGAGGTCGATAATCAGTAAGGTAGCTGTCTGAAAAAAAGCTGTAAATCACTGACCGTCTCAGATGGGGTCATAGCAGGCCTCTTTCTCCTTACTACGAGATTGTGAAATGCATATAACGTTTCCGAAAGACAAAATAAATCTGGGATCCAACTGAGTTGTAACAACCGACTGGTCACATCGATAGTCAATAAAAACCTACGCTTGCTCTCAAATGGCTCAAGAATTTCATCGTAGGACCAGTCGAACGCTGATTCCAGGATCCCGAACCAAAACAGAATAAAAGAGTAAAAAAATATTCATTTCATGCAGACATTTGGCCATTTTAGTTTGTTTTTAACTCCCCAGTGGAATGTTCCTAACACGTCTCATAGCAGCTTATAGGTCCGATAGAACCAACCTTGATTTTCAATAGTTAAATTACATTCACTCTTCACAGTGAAACAGGTGCATTGTAAGAGAGATCTAACGCATGTTGACCAAAGCCACAGCACAGCTGTGGACCACCTCTCAAGTCAAACCATTAGTACATTTATCTAATAGTAGTTGTCGTAATACGATAGTAGTAGTACATCTCGGCCCATCAGCCATTGGCCCTGCCCTCTGCCAGCATGCGGGCACTTCGAAGAAAAAAAAAAAAGTGTCGTATCACCGTTATCTTTGGCAGCTGACGCAGATGATGCGCTGACAGAAGTTAAATCCAGTGACTTTGTTGAGAAGATTCTTCATTAATGGAAACTTTAACGGTGAGAGGCCTGAGCTATTGGACTCCGTTTTGTTTCCTCCACACGTCTAACAGTAACCCTGAGAATGGCTGTTTCCTGTTCACTGCTGAGGAAGTGGTACGCTTTGTACTGAACACACACCTCCTTCTCTGATGGATGCACTTTTTGAATGTTTACACGACACACTCGCACGCACACACAGAGAGATTGCAAAGAAAAACAAGACGAAAACACTGATGCTATGTCTTTGTAACGCTTCGTAGACTTGGTCGACCGGGAACGTACTGTGACGTGGGTTTGAAATGAAAGCTATTCGGGGTTGTAGGCACGGTATGAATGCTTTAGCAGTTTGTTACGTGTCGTACGCTGTCGTTCTCCGCCAACTCTAGTCAAAAATCGATGTACAACGAACAAGCTCCGAATTAAGAACACACTTATTGAAATAGTTTTTTGGTGCTGTACCAAGTAGAACTTATTGAATTGAACTAAAAAAAAAACACAGAATCCTGGCACACATTTAAGAGCATTCCGACATATTCATTACAGCATGTTAGGCACCTATGTCAACGCACCTGAAAACAGCATTTTTAGTCTGTGGTTTATTCAAAAAGGGAGTGAATTTAACAGATTTTAAACCACAATGACCCTTTTTGCGTTCTGTGCCACCAACCACGAAAATCTGCCATTTTCACCAATGTTGACATAGGTACCACAATAGGTTGTAAACTTGTCAACATTTAGTCAATCTGGATCTCTGCTTCGCATTTATAAAATGTCGAATTACATCAACCCTTCATGCACATGCCGAGAGTTGTTCGATCTCATTGGTTAACTACTTCAAACCTTTTTTTGGACCACAAACAACAAATCCCGACAAGATCATAAGCTAAATTGCTAGGTCACCCCTCACTTGATAAGCTTGCATATAAAGATCGTTTTCATGCTGCAAAGGTTTGCTTTGGCTGTACGTTGTTTTTGTCATAAGCGCAGATCTTCCAGGAAGATTGGGGCGATGGTTTCCATTTCAAACCTGGTTTGGCTTTGGGTAGTCGATACCGCCAAATAACAGGAAGTTCTGAGGCCTGACAGATTAACGGTTTGCTAGGCAACTTAACGGTTTTAAAAAGCACTCCGCTCTTTGACGAGTCGACAAAATAAAGATATGCTCATGAAAGAGGGGATTCTGCAGAGGAAAAACACTGCCGCTTTCAAGAAGGCTTCAGTTTGACATTCACTTTTTTCAGCTATGCAAGTAACCACGACCTCCTTCGACTATGATTTAAAAAGAAACAAATAGACAATATATGTAAAAGCAAACAACACACTGACTTCAATTGCTAAACTAGGGAAATTAGACACAGGAAGAAAAAAATAAAACCAGCAACTTCTAAAGCGCATTCTTTTGGAAGAGCTTTCTTTCCTCCACAAACACTACAAAGTCTTGCCCATCGAGCATGCCAACCCTTTGAACGAAGCTTCAACAAAAGCTTTCGACTGGAAAAGTACCACAAGTGCAGGAATCCTGAGATATGGAACAAGCAAACGTCTGTCTCCCGCCATCTAATGTTTTACAGATGAAACGCCACGGCCTGGATTCAATCCGTTCGGAGCGTGTTCGCCCTCAATTACGATCCGTCGCTCAAGTTGATGCACTTCAGTAGGGAATTACAACAATGTTAACTCCAAACAGACCGAGGCCATAAACACACTGATTATGAAGTAGTAAGGGGGAGTTCAAGGCAACTGTGACTCAAGAAGAACAATTAAAACTGACAGAACAGCTGATTGTTTTCACTCTTACCAAAATATCATAACCTTCATCTTCATCTTCCTTGTCATATAGTTTTTGCCTACCTGAGACAGACGGGAAGGACTTCTTAAAACAAAAACACACACAAGAAAAAGAACAAACACCTATGGCTGGGCCCAGATATTGTGCTGCAGGGCGGTCAGCATGCAGGTGTCAAACACCAGACTGAAAACCTCTACGATTGGTTTCACCAGCAGAGGTGCGTCTACTTCCAGGTTGAGAAAATCCAGCGGGATCTGCGTCCCAAACACGTTGTTTCCACCAATCCTCATTTCTGAATAACAATTACATATTGAGGAACAATGAGGAAGTGTCGTAACTGCTGTGGATCAGTCCTGTCCCTTGGCTGGAAGACTAATCTCCCTATAAAAAAGGTCAACGTGAACGTGGGATTTCGTCATTGCAGAAGCCAAGAAGGATCAATTGATAGTTTGAGGTAACTCCACACTTTCTAGGGGGAAACCAACAAACAGACAAAGCGAGAATGAACAACTCACTGTACAACTTTTAAGCTAGCTGTATAAAAGCCCCTCTCTACTATTCACTCAATTAGCTACTAAACCAATACCCAACTATACTTTCCTAGTAATAAGCAGGATATATAGATATAGATATAAATATAGAGCTAATACTGATTAAACACAGCACATATAAAGGATTAAATTCACACTACAAGAATAAACAAAAACAAAATCAAAAAGCAATGAAAGAAAAAAAAAAACTATGTAAAATGAGAAGGGCCCATTTAGTGAAAGATCACCAAGCACAGGGTTAGAGAGGGTGTTTGCGTCTACATGCCCGCGCTGAAACTCTGCATCTCGCGGTGGAAGTGCTGAGTGGGTTCGTTCAGGACCACGCTGTTGTCCATGGAGGGATGCCAGACGCGGCCCAAGCCCAGGGACACCTCCTTGACTAGATTGTGGACGGGGTCGCCCTCGATGTACACCGACTGGTCCG